GCCTAATCCTACTCTCTATGCACAAGTTTCTAACTTAATCAATAAGGAACACTCCCTTATGATTTACAAAGTAGAAAAAGAAAATAATCCTATCTTTTTCACTATCTTGTTTCCAACAATCCTGGACAACAAGGTATACACACAAATCTGAGTTTTTACAAGAAGTTTGAAGTTGAATGATGTATATCAATATCTTAAATTAATTTTCCATTTCAAGTATACGATTCACAAGTATATTACACAAGTGTTCATAATAGAAATGATGGAATTTTTTTATTGATACAATGAAAATGAATGCAGGAAGTTTCACTCAAAAGCTTATGACATAAGACACTTATTTTTTTTTAAGATGAAAGATTAGGTTTGAATTGTAATGAAAGATGTAAGTTTTCAAAATCTGAAACCTTAGGTATTTATACATGCTCCACACTTGTAGGAATGAGTATAATACTATGAATCAATGCCTTGATTGGTAGGTGAAAATTAGAATTTTTTCAAACCATATTTTCAGCCAAAATGTGCCACTGCTTCAGTGGTAACCGGATGACACATAATCATGATTGGTTATAGCTGAAGCGTGCTTAAAAAATTTGAAAATTTGGAAGGTGTAACCGGTTACAGGTTTTAGGTTAACCGGTTACACCTGATGCTATTTTGAAAAATACCAAAATAAAATCGTCCTAGTAACTGATTAACATCATTGTGTAACCGGTTACACCTGATGTGAAAAAGAAAAATACTTTAACAAATGTTATAGTGCATAAACATAAGTTATCAAAAGGATTTTTATGCATCATGATGGATTGGAAATGAATTTTTGGAGCATTATGGTAAGACACATGATGGAATTGTAACTTGTACCTTAAATGATGTGATTAATTCTTTAAGATTCAAAGTTATCTTGATAACGTTGATTGAGATACAAGTCTTGATACCATAGCTTTGACTATGAAGCTTTTTCTCATCCTTTGTTAATATATATGATCTTTAAAGTTGTCTTAATCAAAACATAATATTGGAGAATCTTGTCTTCACACCCTAGAAAGTTGAGGACTATGTGATCACTTCCCTACATAAACGACTGAGATCTACTTAAAATTTTTCGAAAGACAGTCGAGTACCCTCAACACAGGCAGAAAATGATTACTAACTAAAAGGGGAATACATGTCAATCATCCTTAGCCCCTCGAAGCGCCATATTTCATCATAGGCCTTCACATTATGACAACATTGATGAGTGAAGTCATCTGTTGCAAACCCTTGCTATGTTTAATAGAAGACAAGGGTTTGATGGCAATTGTTTTGGGCAAACTGAAAGGCCTAAATAAGTATGAAGGCCTAACATGTGGAAATGGGAAAAATAAGATAAAGATGATATGTTTCTATGTATCACGCCACCCAGATCACCTTGCTCGCAAAACTCACCCTCACCGTCCAAATCCATCTACCGGCCATCCGCATCACCCACCCTAGGTTTTTAGTTGCAAACTAACTCTCATATTTAAAGTAGTTAGCACACCATTTTCCAGGTATGAATTATATTTCCCATTGACACTATTTTTCTCACTCTCTTACTGACTTAGACATTGGAGTGTCAACCTTGTAGGTCAACTCTTATCTATTGCATTGGAACCTTGAACCACTACAACACTGTACCAATTCTACCTCTTCGATCATCATTTTGTTCAAGATAGAATATATATATATATATATATATATATATATATATATATATATATATATATATATATATATATATATATATATATATATATATATATATATATATATATATATATATATATATATATATATATAAACTCAATATTTGAGATTTTAAATTTTTTTATGGAATTGTGAAAATGTTATTTCAAGTATTAGAAAAGTTATACCATAATAAAAGCAAGCCAACAAAAAATTATGTTGTTAAGAACGTTCGAAGGCAAAGTACAATTGTAGATATCAAAAGTACCAAAATCAATATTAAAATAAAAACCAACAAAAATAAAACAACAAAATATTGACTCTTACACAAACAACCACAACCAAAATAACAACCAAAATAACCTCCGGAATGAAACAAAGGAAAGTATGAAATATAAAGAAAAGTGTATTTGTTTCCAACTTTTTTCAATAGATATAGCATTGCTAAATAGCTAATTATAAAATATAATTATTTTACTAAAAATACCGACTTTTTAATGAAACAAGATGAACAAAAAATATGCAAAATCAAACACTTTGCTACTCCATAATGATTCAATTAGTACAAGGCGAGGAGAAACCCTAATTCAACTACCATTGTTGCTATCAGTCAAAATCAAATCTCATTAATGTATCATGAAAATTGGTGTGAATTTGTTTAGCTAAGAGATGGTGATTCGGAAATCATGAGATTTGATTTTGATCGAGTGTCTGTTAAGTTTCCACCTGGTAGAAACAATGGTAGTTGGACTAGGGTTGTTCATCACCTTGTACTGATGAAAACTTTTATGGTGTAATCATTATGTAGTAGCAGAATGTTCGGTTTTGTAGATATTTTTTGTTTATTCTTTTTCATTAATTAAATAATAAAGTCTATATTTTGAGTTAAATACAAGCAAATGCTCAAAAAACCGGCATATAAATGATATGTCATATTCGAAAAGTTTCATTGACCATGAAACCGTTCTTCCTGCTAAATACGGTACCCAACTTTTTGAGCACTTGCTTGTATTTAATTCGAAGTATGGACTTTATTATTTAACTAATGAAACAATATGATTAAAAGAGATATATACAATCAAACACTCTACTACTCCATAATGATTAAACCATGAAAGTGTTTATCAGTACAGCACGAGGGATAACCCTTATCCATCTACCATTGTTGCTACCAGGTGGAAACTCGACAGACACTCGATCAAAATTCTCATGATTTTTGAATCACCATCACTTAAGGTAAACAAACCAAACAAATTCACACTAATTCACTATCCCTTTCATCATTGTTCACGCACGAACACTAGTTGATAACTCCTTTAATGCAGACCAAAAAAAGTCACATTGGGTAATTTCTCTCTATGAATTAAGTCCATATTTTTTCTCCATTGAGCACTTCATTTATGCTTGTTCTTTCTAATTGGATCCCAGACAAAAGTCTTAATTGCCAGTATTCACCATAATGAATATTCATGTCGTTGATTGATCCGTTAATGATAATTAATGCACTTGGGGGACACTTTTGGATGCATGATGTCATGTGATATCAATCAATAAATGTTTGCTTGCTAACAACTTACATAGAGTGACTTTGGGTCGCTAATTCTTTTTAACTGGACTACTTTACTTTCGGTGATTCTCAATTAACCCGACCTCATAATTCTCATAAATATACAAAATCTCCAAATATTTGACCATTATACATAGATCAAGACTTCAGATACCACCATTAAAATTTTCAGAATGCATACATATCAAATTTTATAAAATAATTTATTCTCTTTGATGAGTTAAATATCAAGTGAATTTTACATACAATGAAAGGAAAAATACATTAGAAAAACAATTTCTCTTTAAAAATCGTGACATAAAAGATGTTGACATGACTTATGCCAATTGCATTCAAATTCTTGGAGACTAATATCCAATTATTTTAAGTTTATATAAAAAAAAATGTATTAGCACGAAAGAAAATGATAAATTAAAGAAAAAGAAAAAAAAGTCACCAAAGATTAAGAATTAAAAGTAGAGAATCCCTACCTACCTTGAATTTTGATAATCTTTTTACGAAGCTTTTGTTGTTTGCAACTAGTTATGTCAACATTAAAAGTAATTTCGTAGATCAAAGAGAATCACCAAAACAAGAATCTGAACAAAACTTTATCCCCACCCGTTCCAAGATAAAAACCTTTAACGGATTATTTAGGATAAATTAAAAAGCAACAAGAATTCTAAAAAAATACATATAAATAATAATAAAAATTCAAAACAATAAAGCAGAGTGTAAAAAGACATACAATGAGATTTTATTTCCTTCTATAAATAAGATATTTATAAAACTCAAATAATTTGGTCTAACAGTGAAAAAGAAAAATTTTCAAATAAAGAAATTTTTGCGCGGACAATTTTAGATATATAAATTCACCAATGACTTTTTTTTATTTTAAATATTTTTCTATTTTTGAATTTAGTTATAATCTTTTCTTCATATATATATTTTAATTTAAAAAGAAAAGGATTTAGTAAAAATTAGCCCACAGAAAATAAAATAAAAATACTACAACTAATAAAGGAAATAAAAAAATACAGTGGGCGATTCCCTTAAATACTGTATTTAGAAAGCGCGTGATAAAGTAACGTTAAATTAAGGAAAAAAGAAAAGATAAACATTTTTTAAAGACAAAACTAAAAAAAAAGGATTTATTTATTTTTGGTAAAGAGTTGTTACATAAACTGCGGGGGACAGGGGAAGAAAAAAAAAACCTGCCGTATGGCAAAACAAATGAGGTCGGAATGAAATTGAAATGCAAACGAAATTCAAATTACACTCAAATGAAATTCTTATTAAATTCACGCGTAGTACTCAACCCATGAAATCCGTGTAGTATTACTAATAGTCATCTTCGAGAAAGTAGAGAGAGAAACAAAGAAAAAAAAAACAAAAAAAAAAAAACAGAAAAGAAAAAAAGAAAAGAAAAAGAGACACTGTTTGTAATTGTGTGTGAGTATTTTTCTTCTTCTTCTCAACCTTCGTTGTCGATAGAGTGAATCTTGTAGCGAGATAAGCGCCTGCATCTTCGGCATTTCCGTCAAACAACAAAGTCTCATCACTATTAATCAATTCTCCATTTCCCATGAGGTTTGTACTAGTACTACCTTGTCTACTGTTTTTTTTAAGGTTAAGCCTCATTTTATGATTATGTTTTTTTTTTCTTCTTTCAGTTTCAGATTAAGTTTTGTTGATTGAATCGAAATTTATAGAAGCATTCAGAGGCTGAGGCTTCATTCTGAACAATCACATGGAACAGTTAAGTATATCTCAGTTTAATCAATCACAAATGCGAAGAAATCAGAACCATCAACAGGTTCATCAACAGCAACATTTTCAAGATGGAAGTAACAAGAGAGCAGGTATACCACCGTCTCACCCGCACCAGATCCCACCTATTTCGCCCTACTCCCAGATCCCGGTTTCACGGCCGATAATGCCTCCCCATAACACTAGTCCTACACCTTCCCACACTCGATCACTCTCTCAGCCGTCGTTTTTCTCTCTCGATTCTCTTCCGCCTCTTAGTCCTTGTCCGTTTCGGGATTCTTCGTCCACGTCGCTCTCGGAACATGGTGACGTGTCGATGGAAGATCGTGACGTCAGCTTACCGCCGTTTGCTAGAAACCCTTCCTTGCCGCCTCGGAAGTCGCACCGGCGGTCTAACAGTGATATTCCGTTTGGGTTTTCTACTGTTTTGCAGTCTTCGCCGCCGTTGATTCCTCTCAGAGGAAGAGAAATTGCGAAACCTAATCCGTTGGCGGTGAAAAGGGAAACTGGTTGGGAGAGAAATGTTGATAGTAATAATAATAATGTAGAGGAGAAGAAATCGTTATCCCCGGAAGGTGAAGTTGTGGATGATCTTTTCTCTGCTTATATGAATTTGGATAACATTGATGCAATTAACTCGGCCGGGAATGATGACAAGAACGCGGCTGTTACTGATAATCGCGATGATTTGGATAGTAGAGCGAGTGGAACGAAGACGAACGGTGGTGATAGTAGTGATAATGAAGCAGAGAGTAGTGTTAATGAGAGTGGGGATAGTATGCAGAGGAGGGAAGGGATGAAGAGAAGTGCTGGAGGTGATATTGCGCCTACTACAAGACACTATCGGAGCGTGTCGATGGATAGTTTCATTGGAAAGTTGAATTTCAATGATGAGTCTTCCAAGCTTCCGCCTTCGCCTGGTGGGTTGATGTCTCCTGGTAATTCGGGGGATGGGAATTCTGCGGCTTTTAGCTTGGAGTTTGGGAATGGTGAGTTCAGTGGGCCTGAATTGAAGAAAATTATGGCGAACGAAAAACTTGCTGAGATTGCAATGGCTGATCCGAAGCGTGCTAAGAGGTGCTGTAATTGCATTTTCAACATGTTATATAATAATGTTGACACAGATGGTTAATCTAACTTGAATTTTTTTTGGTTATTTCAGGATTTTGGCTAATAGGCAATCGGCTGCGCGTTCCAAAGAACGCAAGATGCGATACATTTCAGAGCTAGAACACAAGGTTCAGACTCTGCAGACTGAAGCTACTACACTCTCTGCACAACTTACTCTGTTGCAGGTGGGAACATGTTTATTTATGTTTGTAAATGTATGCTTAGTTTGGTAATTTCAGCTTAATTTTTTTTACTAATTTTATTCTAATTTTTGTTGTGAATGCAGAGAGATTCTGTTGGACTTACTAACCAGAATAACGAGTTGAAGTTCCGACTTCAATCCATGGAACAACAGGCAAAACTCCGAGATGGTATTTCTTTCAATCTCTTCTTAAATTTACCAGCAAAACATACCATATTGTATAACTCATTTTATGTTTATGACTGAAAACTAACAAGCTGAATACTTATAGTTGCTTAGATTGACTGAAAACTAACAAGCTGAATACTTATAGTTGCGTAGATTTTGTTGCTATGTAAGGAGCCTTTTATTTTAGACAGAACAATTTAGAGCTTTTACATTACAGCTTAAGCTTTTGAGATCGTAGATTCTTGCCATGGTCCAAAGTTTCTATGACAAAGTGTGGTTAGAAGTTTCATTCTTGCTGTTCTAGTTTGAATTTCAGTACAATATAAAGTCTTTTGTTTAGCATTGGAAGATTGGTTATAGGAATTATAGAGATAAGATTAATAGTTTAACTAGATACAAAACACTGGTGCACTATGTGAAAAAACATTTTTGTTTTGAAATGAGTATCACATAGAAGATTTGCTGATTCCATTGCTGATGTTTAACTGTTTAAGCTGCCAGTTATATATCTTGCATGTTATGATTGGTGGTGAGATTGGTCGAATTACTGTGATTTTGGCAAATCTACACTCTGGAGTTTCACAAAATCATGTTAATGCCATGATTTTTTTCGAACTCACAATCAATCTCATTATAACATCTATCTGGTTTTCCCACAAATGCACTTGTTCCCTTCTTCTGAAATTGACCATAAATGAGATTTTTTTCCTTTACATACCTCATTGTGTTTATGAGTTCCTACTGTTTTTTGCTGATTACTTCTGATCCCTGTATCTTTGTCTAATAGCTCTAAATGAGGCCCTCACTGCCGAGGTTCAAAGACTGAAGATTGCTACAGCTGAGTTGAACGGGGAGTCGTCGCATCCTTCTAACTGCATGATCCCGCAACATTCTGTCAACCCTATGATGTTCCAACAACAGCATCAGCCTTCTACATCCCAACAAAACATTCATATTCAACAGCAACATCAGCAGCAACAACAACAGAATGGTAATGCCAACTCAAAAAACGACTTAAAGCAATAAGTTGGGTTTGAGGTCCTACAAATGGTTCTTTATATATCTGTTACCGTATCATTGCACTCAGTTTCACATATTTACAGAAGTTTCCCTTAGTTGTTATGGTCGTAAGTTCGATTCACAATGCCTATCTAGCTCGGTCACAGTTTATATACAAGTCCTAGTTCCTGTCTTATATTTAAATTATAGCTCATATTTAATTTCAGTACATATCTGAAATTGTAAGCATTATTTGGACATGATTTGTTTTATGTTAACATTTAGATGGAGTTTTACAAACTTTTAATTTTTTTGGTAAATAATGACCATTCTATTGTTCTGTTCAAAGTTCAAATCAGTTTGGTCGTAAGGACTAATTAAAGCTAAGGTTTTCAATACCTTAAATTATTAGCATAATCAATAATTCTAATGCAAATTCTATGCTATATATACTATAAATTGAAGAAAGTTTCTTCTACCAATTTCTAACCCACCTTAAAAGAACACACATGTTAGGTTTCTGTGAGGTACGTAATTAATTAGCATATTCAAACAATTTTTTTGTTTGTTGAGCTTGCATAATTTTCAATAACAACCAAGTCATATTTCAGCAAGTGGGGTTGGGTTGACTATATTGATCTTAACTTACAATTTTTTTTACATTAATATTAATTACAAAACTTGGGTTTTTGTTAAACTTAAAATTAAATATATCAAAAGTAATTGTGTTTATATTTATTAGATTCATAATGTTACAATGAATTTGAACAGCTTTTATTTTTCTTCAATTTTGGTGAAAAAAATGAACTTGTATATCTAAAGATAAACTAGGACAAAAAAGATAAATACTCGAAGAGATTAAAGTATAAAGTTCTTAAATTATATATATGTATTTGAAATATTTTGTGTTGTATTTTAATTAAAAATAATTTTAGAAAAGATTTTATAACACCAAAAAAAAAAAAGAATTTTTTACCAAAATAACTCTGTTTTTCAAAATAATTCTCAAAATATTTCACATTTTAAATTATTTTTAAAGTAACTCATTTTGGGGTACTGATTGCATGGTAGCGCCATGTGGATTGGCGATCCCTCACAAGGGCATGAGTGGTGTCGCCAATTAGATTGAAGATATCTTATGTGTCTTCAATCCAATTGGCGATTGGGTCTTAAAATTAAAGGGAAGTCACCAATTGAGAAGGAGACAAGGTACATTCTGTAAAAAAATTTAACAAAAATAAATAACATTATCATTAATTAAAAATATTATTACATAAATTAGTGTTGGCGATTGAGTTGATCATATCGGCCACCGGTTCCACATCCCTTAGGCACATTCTCTCGTTGCACTCGTTCCCCTCGTTGTTTATTCACGCCAGGTGTTTGAGGAGTCGAAGTCTCAGAAACATTTTCAGATTGTTCCCTAAAAATTTCTTACATTTCCATGAGGCCTTGTGTATTGAAACTGAGCATGCGACCCATGTTAGAGTAGTTCGGATGTGATGAAGGGGACATTGTTGTGCGGCCTGGACGATCGAAGGGGGACATTAGTGTGAAGGATTCGTTGGTGAAAGGTTGAAATAGTAGTGGTGTTTGAAAGCCATAAAGTTGTTGGAATGTTTGTGTGTAGGCTAGAGTATGATGTTTGAGCGTTTTGGCTATGGAAAGATGTTTGGGCGTTATGGTTATGGTATGATATACCCTCATTTTGGCTATATCTTGATTTTGTGTTGGAGGCATAACCATATTGGGTTTCTTGATCATAGTCATTTTGTTAGAGATGGTATGGGGGACGCTCTTGGTATTGTGGTTGGGTGTTTGTCATGTTTGAATGGTGAGTTTGTGTGTTAGTGGGTTGGTAATTCTGTTGGGTAGGGGGTTGTGAGTAACATGGCCGATAATGAGTCTTTGTTATAACACTGTTAACAACAAACAACACATATTGCGAACTAACAACAGATAACACATACGACACATATAACGGATAAGGAAAAGAAACATAAAACATTTTAAACTGATTACAACAATCAAACTAATGTCCTTTGGTCCAAACGTGACTTCCCTCACATCCTTGTCAGTCTTAACGTGAACTCATCCACGCAGGCGATCAAGTCTCTCGATACTTCAAATTTTTCTCTTTCACCAATGTCTCCTTCTAACCACCGATTCAGCTATCTCTTAAGTTGATTGAAACTTTGAATGTTTCAAAACAGCATGTCCATCGGAGGCTTCTCTCTCTCTCTCTCTCTCTCTCGAATAAATGACTTTTTCTCACCGGTGACAATACATGTTATCAGTGGAACAACGATATGAGATGAGTTGTGAAACTAAATGATCAGAACATCTCTATTTATAGAAAAAAAACTAACTTTCAAGGTTGTCTCCATCTCAATTGGCGACACCCTTGTAAGTATTAGACTCAGTCGCCAATTGGATTGGAGACACCATGAGGTGTCTCTAATCCAATTGACGACATCACTCATGCTCTTAAAATTCGCTTTTAGTGACAGGTTTAGTGACTGAAAAATTTCGGTCACTTTAGCCATCGAATTAGCAACCAAACTTTGACATCATGTTAACAAAATATTTTAAGTCTCTAAATCGGTCACCAAATAAAGTTAGCCACCGAATTAGTGACCGAAATTTTGTGACCATAATATTCAGTCACAAAATAAATTTATTAAAAAATTTCAGTGACCGAAATTTTGGTCACTAATAGTTTTTGTGATTTTATTTTTTAAGTTACTACTTTCCCTCCTAATTTCTCTCATTTTTTTAATATTTTAAGTTGATCTTAATTTTTAATTTTTAATCAAAATTTCACATTTTTTTATTTTTATAACAAATAAAACATATATTTATATAAAAAAATTGATAAACATAAATTTAATAAAACATGTAAATTAAATAACATTATAATAATTTAAATATATTTTAATAATGTATACCATTTTAAATATGAAATTAACAATTGTTATGATGTGTCCTAGTGATAACATGTGTACTTTACGATTCAAGATCACGGGTTTGATACTTGAATGTGGCAATTATTTTTATTTTATTTTTATTTCGTTAACATGTGGGGTATTTTGCGAATTTTTTTTTTTAAAATTGAGTTATGTTAGTAAAGTTTCTCAAAAAAATTATTGGTTGAATAATTTACTCATTTTTTATAAAAATAGTATTAAATTGTGATATAATTGTTAAAAAAAAATTCAACAAGTAGAAAATAAAGAAGGAGTAGAGAAAAGAGTGAAGAGGAAAACTAAATGTTGCAGAGCATGACATGCCAATTTTAAACTTTTTTTTGATAAAAAAAAATAAAGTTTTTATTGGAAAAAAAAAAAACCTCAAGCCAGCTCAAAACAAATCGGTTTGTTAGACAAACTACTTGTAGTATTAAATATTAACTCATTTAGTTCGGAAAATTTCTACACCTTTTGAGCACCTATCACAAAGACTAAAGCTGATAAAATAGATCATCAGGTCTTAAATGGGCCCGTCTTAGCGAGTTTTGAATATTTTAGGGTTGGATTAAAAGTTCATTTATAATATAGATTTGAAAATTACTATCTGATCCTAAATAGGTTTTGGGTTATCCAATTTTAAAGAAATTTTTTAAATAAAAATTAAAATAAAAAATTATAATACTTATTATAAATAAAATTAAAAATTATATCATTTTAAACATAAGACAATTTTAAGTATTATATTATCTTTTATAATACTATAATATATTTTTAAATACAACGCATGTCTAAATTGTATAAAATAATACTAGAATATTTAACATAAGAGAAATTAATAGAATATGAAGAAAGAGTGTTAATTATATTAATTTATAAGATTTAAAAGAGAAATATCTAATAAATGGAAAAAAAATTAATGAGTTGAGAAAAATCAATGTGTTATTTTAAGTAAGACAATATAAGTATTAATACATATTTTTTTAAAATTTATAGCTATGCAGGCCTAATGGGCTACCCACGGGTTAGCTCAAATGGGTAGCGGACCTTTTAGGACTAGGCTAAAAAAAACTTTGAAAAATATGGGCTCTAATTTTAAGGCCCAAACCCTATGATTTTTCGTGCTGGACGGACCGACCCATATGGGTTAATCCATTTCGACAGCTCTAACAAAGACTATCTCTATTATAAATATTTGAGAGATGTGAAAGTTGTCCAATCTCCGACTTAATGAATTTTTTCAATTCACAACTCACTTGTACTTTTAACACTTGCTTCAAACAAATCGCCAAACGAACTTAAAAAATAATTTTAAAATTAACGTCAAATGCTTCAATAAAGTAATACATCAATAAACGTATTGACATATTTGAACCTTATCACAACAAATAAGATTTATATTTAATAACACCAGATTCATAATTTTTTAAGACGTATTCTCAAAAAGCTCGTTCTATACGTAGGGGAGAATATGGTAATTGAATGATCTAGAACGAGGAGGGTTGAATAGGTCATTCCGAAAAACCCCAATTTAAAAAATATTTGTTTTTCAAAATCAAAGCTTAATAAAATGTTTGATGCAGCAGAAAAGTACAATATATGTGATTGGAATGATTGCAAATAACTACATGTTAATCATAAAATAGAATGTGATCACGATGCAATCACTAAACAACCAAGTAGAAATTAATCTAACTTCGAACGTACATGAAAAATGTATTTCAAACTTATTTAATTGATAAAGATTCTACAATCATAACTTTCAGGTTTAATCACATAAGAAATTGTTCAAAGGCTTAGTCTAACATATACATACTTTTACACAAGAGATCACTACAAAAGTAGTAAATCCTAATAGCATGAAGTTTCAAGAAAAACAATCAATTCTAAGAATACAATATCTATACAAGAAATAAAATAGGTAAAATTAGAGAGAATGTACACAATATTTATAGTGGTTGGACTCAGTCTTCCTCACTAGAACTTAATCCACTCTTCAATGGTTTCACAAATGAAAATTCGTAGGTCTTCCACTAAAATTTAATACAAGAGTATTTATGG